TATATATATATATATATATATAAATAAACCAATACTATGAACGATATGTGGCATTCGGGCTTTTTAGTCGGCTCCGCAGATCGCCAGGCGAAGGGGGTGGACGGGAACGGTCCCTCGTGCGAGCGCGTCCACGCTCAGCTGAGTGCTCGCGTACTCGCCAATCTGTGGTACTAAAATTTGGGGCCAACTCGCCCCGACAGTCGTTCGAGCTACCACCGGCCCTGTCCTGAACATGGCCAGGTGCAGGTGCACGGTCGTCCTGGCGGTACGGCGCGCGATCAGCAGAGAGGCCACGTGCTTCACAGCTGGGACTATGTTCCTGTGTCGGATTGGGTGACATATGGAACCTCTGTCCTGATTGTGGCGCGGTAAATGGATCGGATGGGTTTAAATCGGCTTCAATTCGGGGTCGTTTCGGTGTAAATTCGAGATTTTTGTCAAAATCTGGGTTGGTTTCATTACTGAAGCGATGATACCGTTGGTTGTCTCGGTAACGGGCCGGGGGATTGTCCAGCAGCGGGCGCGGTTTTGCTCCCTGCTCCCCGTTATTTATAGCACGGTTCTCCCGGCTATTTATAGAACGGTCTCCCCGGCTATTTATAGCACGGTCTTCCCGGCTACTTATATAACGGTCGTCCCGGCTATTTATACGGTCTTCCCGGCTATTTATAATACGGTCGTCCCGGCTATTAATATGGTCTTCCCGGTTATTTATAGAACGGTCGTCCCGGCTATTTATAGAACGTTCCTCCCGCCGCAACAGAGGCCCATCCTTGGGATCACCACTGCTATCGCGGTAGTCTCTCGCCTGTTTTAGATAGTCCCGTGGCTGTGCCGTGTGGCCCTGGGCGTACCGTGCGCGTTCTTCAGACCGACGTTCCTGTGGGGGTATCTGAGTCTGCGGTGATTGTTGTGTGTGTGTGTGTGTGTTACTTCGTTGTAATGATGATTGTCTAGACACTTCTGAGTGTTGGTGTGTGTGCGTGTTGGTGTTGCTTCGTTGTATTGGCTGTTTAGCCTCTTCTGGGTGTTGCTGTGGTTGTGTTGCTGTATTTTGCCGTGGGTCCTGTGGGGGTCGTAGAGTGTCGACATGCGCCTGATAGTTAGACAGAGAAGACCTGCGTGGCGACGGATAGGTATCGACCTTCGGGTGTGTAAACTCGGTTTTAACCGGCTGTGAAAAACCCGGTTTATCCGTCTGTGTCGACCACCGCGTGTATTGCCGTGCCTTCGCCTCTGAGTGGGGTAAGACCATACGGGCTACATCAGAGTCTCTTTTAGAGTCCATATGAACATTAGACACGGTGTGTTGTTGGGGTGGGTGGCCTTGTGCCGTCGTCGCCTGTGTTGGTTGGGCTTGTGTGTGGGCTGTGTGTGTCTGCAGCTGTGCCGGGTGTTGCTGCGTTGTTGCAGTTGCCCTGTCATTCGTAGTATCGTTCATACTGGTCTGCGACCTGCCCGCCATTGCAGGCGCTGATGAGGCAGGCGCCTGATCCGTCTCCTTATCTGCAGTCGTATGTGCACAAGCTATTTGCTGGACATTGTCGCCGTTGTCATGACTACCACTGCCAGTTTCAATTAGCGGCTGCTTTCTGGTGACCCGATCTTCGGGATGGTAATACCTACAGGGAGTGGAGATACACGCGCGACCGTTGCTTAGATACGGACACGCCTGGATAGTCACGGCAATACCTACCTTCACACTCTGCACGAGCATATCCAGGACAGCCCGCGCAGTGGCCCCTTCCTTATTTAGACCGAGCACCGTAGCCATATAAGGCATCACACAGGGCGGCGGATGTGGCCGGGTGCACATCGCAGACACACACGTGTTCTGTAAGAACGCCGGGCAGGCCGTGTACAGCACTGCCGGCGTGTCTGCGATGACGTCATCGTCTGTGGCATTTGGGCCCTGTGCGTCGGCGGCAGTGCACATGGCCGCACACACACCGCCCAGGGTCAGCCCATGCGCACCCGTCGGAGCATCTGCGGGTGCAGGTGCAGTCATGTGTGTGCTGTCTGGGTCATATGAGTCATGAGCTTTGGTGGTATAGGGAGTACCCTTCCCCTTCCGTGTACCTCCACTCGGCTGCGCATGGACGTCAGCAACAACCGTGCTATCTCTCCGGAGGCGCTTGTGCGGGTGGGTGTGTGCGTGCGAGGTAGTCTGTGACGGCAGGCGTACGGGAAATGGTTCCCCTTTAAGCGCGACCGTCATTGTGTACCCACTTACGCCTACCCCTCTCTCGTTATCGCTACCTCTACGATCCTCCTCCTCCCCACCGCTTGAGTGTGAACTACCGGACAGCATGGGTGCCGCTTTGAACACCAACTGATCCGAGTTGCGCGGGTCCGCTTGCGCATGCGTTGGCTCGTCTGTATGGCTACCTACACTACGTGCACCGTGCTTGCTGTTACGCCTACCGTCATTGAACGTATGCGATACGGTCCGTGACCGCGATGCCCCGCGTGCATGGGCAGGACTAATCCCCCGGGTGCTACTGCGAGATGACCTGTGCGTGTGTGCGTGCCTGTCTGTGCGTGCGTGTGAGTCTCTTCCTCTCCGCTCAGAGGAGTCCCTGTCGTTGCGGTCGTATGCCTCTCCTCCTCTGCGCTCCGTCTGGCTGAGCCTGCGCTTGCCCGCCACTCCACTGCTGTGCTGTGAGTGCGCAGGTCTGTCGTCGTCTCTGTCACGTGCCGTATCTCTGTCTCTATCCTTGTCCCGGTCCCTTTCTCTGTCCCTTTCTCGGTCTCGGCCTCTCTCGTCCCCTCTATCCCCGTGGCGTGTTTGTAAAGACATGTCGCGCTGCGCAGAAGATTGGGATCGCCTTCGCTGCAATTCGGATCTGGAATCTGATCTGGACATTACCGATCTCGATTTAGCGCGCAGAGCCATTTCCTTTTCCAATTCGGCGATACGTTGGTCTAGGTTGTCGTCCGCCAAATCGGGATGCTCTCGCTCACCGTGTCTCCGCCGGTCGTTGTCGCCATGGTTACCCGGGGTTTCGTTGCCATGGTTACGCATATCCCTCTCCCTCCTCTCCTCACCCTCCGCTTGGGGTACTAAATCCATAGGCCCTGCACCTGCACCTGCGCCCGGCCCTGTCCTGTGCGAACTGGGCGAGGGCTTTCTGTCCATATTGAACCTCAACGCACGCTGGCGTTTTCTCTCCTTATCCGATTGGTCCTGCCCCGTCTCCTTTGATAAACGTATTGTGGTCGCCGTACGTTTTGCCAGCGGCTGAGCCCCCGCGAGCCCCACCGCCCCACCGGCACTGTCCTTATCAATGGCGTACGTTTTCCGCTCCGGTACGGTTTCCCCACCCCCGCTATCAGTCCTGTCATGCGTCCCGTCCCTTTGCCCCCTGTCGGTGGTGAGTGGTCTGTCCTGTTCCTGCTTTACCCCTCCCCCGTGTGCGGTACTACCACCCACATCCAGCTTAGCGCGTACCTCTGCGCCTTCGTGCGCTTGTTCCGAAGTGGCTGGGTGTGGCTCTGGCTCTATCTTTATGTGTGTCATCGAGGTGTGGTTGGTACCTACCCCAAGGTATACGCGAGTGTGGTCTGTGACAGGCATAGCCTTTGCGTGCAGCGTGTTATCGTCGTGTGTAGTGCCGTGAGTATTGTCCTGCGCGCGATTTTTAGCGTGTGTATTGCTGCATGTATTATCCTGCGCGCCGCTTTCCGCGGGTATGTCGCCAGCTGCGTCGTCGGCCTGTACTACAGCGCCATCCGTTGACACGTCCTGCGGTGTCAATGTGGTGCCACCAGGTCCACAATCGGCCCCACCCCACCCCTCAACAGCCTCTCTTGGCGAAGCTGCCCCGACTTCTAGCTTGATTCTATTTATAGCCCGACCATATGATTGGTCGCCATCCCAACTGAGCTGTCGCTCATACGAATGAGGTGCGTTGTGGTGCGTGCTTGTTAATGTATGGCGATGCGGAGACTCTCTGGTGAACGCAGACGGCGGCGCCTCTTCACTTTCATCTACGATATAAATCGCATGGGGCATATCAGTGGACGAATCAGAGAGATATCCGCCTGCGAATGGGAATACGACACTAGCGTGAGTAACACGGCACTACTGTGACTAATAAGACACTAGTGTGAGAAACACGGCACGACTGTGACTAATAAGACACTAGTGTGAGAAACACGGCACGACTGTGACTAACACGACACTAATGTGATCCATACGATAAAGGTGTCCACTGATAAGTGGTTGGTGTGCGAGCATATGGATATGACAGTGACCTGTTTATAGTAGTTTGTGTATTGTTCCTGCTGTAATGCAGTAGGTATTTAATGTGTGTATCATAGTACACATGGCTGGCTATTTGTATACATACGTGTTTGTACTAATGCGGCTGTGCAACAACAGTCACAGACACAGTCACAGACACAGACACAGACACAGACATAATATATACATACATACATACATACATACATACATACACACACACACACACACACACGTGACTTTAGGTCTGTATTGTACACAACCTAGCAACACGCTTGTAAGGGTGTGGGGCCGTCTTTAGAAGCACTTTACTTCACAGACAATATCCATCGCGATTCTCATGAACTTGCACGAACCTCAGTATACGGCTTTTCTACAGTGTGTGTGCACATGTGCGTAGTTGTTTTCTGACGGATGGGACGACACAGCCGGTGGCACCCGCCACATCTGATCGGTCACAAGTTGATTCAGCACACATACGCACTAGAATGTATGTTGATGTATTAATTGACCCTACACAGATGACCTACATGTGGCCACGGAAACAGACATGCGATACGCACTACAAACACAGACTACCTATAAGAAAAAGATATATCGTTTACACACCCTTTGGCCCACACACGCTTCGGCTGGAACTTGTGCCCACGCTAAAACCAAAAACCTTAAACCCTACTGCTCAAAACATACTTCTACATAGACACATTGTATTGTTCACCTATGCGTAAAAAAATCGTTTCTTATTTTACAAACATACTGCTGCCAACATAACCTTAAGCGCAACACACCACTCACACTCAATGTATACCCTAACTGCTCGCACACACTCCGGCTGATACATCCTACTAGCACGTACGCCAGGAACGCTACTACACAAGCACACGTCTACGAACACGTAATCCTCAAGCACACTCAACACACAGACAGTCACTCAGTTACTACATATCACAACGCCTCCTCACACACACTCAACACACACACTACCACTCAGCTGCTACATATCACAACGCCTCCTCAAACACACACAACACACAGACAACCACTCAGCTACTACATATCACAACGCCTCCTCACACACACTACTCAAACACGCACAACACACAGACAACCACTCAGCTATTACATATCACAACGCCTCCTCACACACACAACACACAGACAA